GCTACAGTTTGAGTCCACTTTTTCCTTGTTTAGTAAAGAACAGTGTCCATCGAAACCCGTGGTGTATTTGAGGATGGCTAAGTCACTCAACAGCCTTTTCTTCCTCCGCAAAACAACCCAGCTTCTCTGCCCTTCCCTCATTCCTTTCAGCTTTTTTTGTTTTCTTTTTTCATGATCTCAAGTTTCTTGGCAGCCTTTTTAAAACAGGGCAGAACTGGACATGACACTATCATGTCCAGTACTGAGAGTAGCGGAGGACTGTCCCTCGGGGCTTTAAGTGTCTGTCAGTCCTTCTGTCGGAGTGGCACGCTGGGGATGGACCTGACAGTGGGTCAGGGAGCAGAAAGAGTTGGGGACACGCGGTTCTGACTGCAGTGACTGCTGTGTGCCCCGGGGACAGGGAGTCCGGGAGAAGAGGTGGACTCACTTTACCAGCTTGGAAACAAATGAGGTCAGAGCTCTTCTAATGGTGAGCTAAGGATTTTGAGCTCTCTACATGTTAGAGTAATAGGAAATCTGATATCTCCATATAAGATGTCCTTGCATTGTTAGTGAACCCCGGGGGCTGGCTCAGTCCAGGGGGCCAGCTACTACTGGTGGTAATGGTGGCCGCTGCTACTACCAGAATCGTTCAGGAGAACCACTTCTTCGTCAACTTGATATAACTGCAGCTGCATTCCCAAATACCTTTATTTGTATGTATTTGTATGTTATTTTCTTTGTTAAAATTAGGCTCATTGTACCCCTCTTCCCTGCAACCTTCTAATTCTTTGACTGGCATTAGCATGCATTCAGTCACCCAAGCGGGAAACCTTGGAGTTACCCTTAATTGATTCTCTTTAGCACCCCTATCCCCATCCCTGCATCCAGTGACTCACCAAGTCTGTTTGGTGAAACTTCTGCACTCTCTCTCTCTCCATCTTCTCTCTCCATTCCTGTCCCCCAAATCCTGGTACAGACTGTCACAGCCATTCCTATAGTCTTTATCAATAACTGGCTAGCTGATTTCCCCTCCCCACACCACTCTCACCATAGTTTTGCCAGATTTCTTTGTCTAAAGGGTAGATCTGATTATTTATCATTCTTATATTAAAGGAGATAATGAATTTTAAATTACTCAGAGTAATAACCTAGCATCTCCAGTGCGACATTCTTCCTTAACCTGGCACGTAAGGAGGACCCGACTATACGTTTCAACTTCATCACCTGCCCCTCCTCTTTATGAGTCATAAACTGCCAGCATGCAGACTGCCTCTCAGGAAGGATGGAAGGTGGTACAGCTGGTGGCATCAACTCAAACAACAGTGAGCTTCTGCCTGGGGCAGGAAGAGTGATGTTTGGGGGAGCCACCTTTCCCCGCCCCAAGGGAATGGGAGATGAGTAACTTTCATGCAGGGAGCTGGAGGGCCATCTGCTAGCTGGAGTTCCGGGGTCACACAGTTAAAAGACATGTAGGGGCAGCAGGCTGGGGAAAATCAGGACCCTTTTTCAGAATAACCAACCAATAAAAAAGGGATTTGGGTAAAAGACATTGAGAGATTTGGCAGGGTGGGGTGGGAGTGTGGGGGGACTTTCAGTTTGTTCCAGATGATCTTTGTAGCTCTGGAGCCTAGGAGATGCTTGATAAGTGTGTCTTGAATAATTTATTTCTGGTGACTTTCACTCCATCCTATTATATTGTTTGTTTATAACCTTAGTGCCATCTGTAAGTTTACTGGACAGCATTCTGGTTTTGCTAAGACATGTCTTTCATTTACTTAAGAAAGGTGTATCGGGTGCCTACCATATATACATCAACACAAGTTAATTTTTAGGGCAGAGAGATGGTAACTGATCTTTGTGAGTCTTTGTGAAAAGAGGGCATCAGAGGTGACACCTCAGTACCCTGGGTTTGGGCATTACCGCCTTTTTTCTCTTACTAACCCAAACCCTGAATAATCCTGTTCTGCCTCGCACATCTTTCTCTCCGGGCCAAGTTAAAGGAGATCCTGCATGATGACTTCAGTGTTGCAGGACTCTGTAGGGATCGTATAAATTCTCATGTGAAGGAAAGTGGTTTCACAGAGTCGAAATTCAGCAAAGGGAAGAATCCAGCCTGCATTCTTTGTAGACCTTGTCCAAGGAGTACAGTTACTAAGCACTCGAAACGTTTTCATTTAAGGTTGTTTTACGTATAAGGCAGCCACGTGGCAGGGATCCGTGTTAGTAAGATTTCTTTTTCTTAAGATCCAGCCCCTTGGAGTTACTGCGAGCAAAGGTATAGTTCGTTTGGAAAAGGAGTCGGGGAAGTGCGCGGGTTTCCTCACAGAATCATTGTCTTAGAGCCTCTTTTTCCTGCCACCAGGAGCCATTGACTCATTAGAACTGGACAGACAAATAGAGGTCAACTAATGCAAATGGTCAAATCTCAATCTCTTAATACTTCCTGCCCCCCGCCACACACTTTTTTTTTTTTGAATCAGAGAACTTAGGCTTCACTGTGACAGTCAGAATAAGCCCACTCTTTCTGACAAGGACACACGTGACCTTCAGAGGCATTCGGTGCCCGGTGAACATCCTAGTAACGAGAAAACCTGCAGCCCTCCTAGATAGCTCTGCATCTCCCTGGGCTTGTGCTGAGCAAGGTCAGGTTCAGCATTCATTTTACGGTTCAGGAAGCTGAAGTTGGAGCCTAGCAGGTGGCTTGCCTCGTATCAAGTAGCAAGTCAGTGCAGTTGGGAAGCGAGTCCAGATCCCGGGAGCCCTAGCCCCAGCCTGTCCGCAGACCCACCCCAGCGCCCACGGTCTGAGCCTCTGTGACCGGCACCCACTCCATCCCAGTGTATCCTGATTGCTCAGCCTCTTCTGTTGTCCCCACTTTTAGTCGTTAGGTCTCACCCCTGACCCTTCGCTCCATCTGTCCCAAATGTACGAGGGAACGCTTCCCCCATCTCTGCAGGGCCCATTGTTGCCCGTGTGTGGGATCTGGTTCCAGGACCTCTTCCCCTAGGTGGTACGGCCAGGGCTGCTCCCGACCTCTTTGGCTAAAGGAAGGATAATTCAGTGGCCCCAGAGACCACCCCTACACCTCCCCTGACCTCTGGGGATGCCCAGCCTGCCTCCTCTAAGAAGCTCCCCGATGTCTCCCTCCCCTTGACCCCTGCGGTTGTCTCTACTCGCTGTCCTTTCGGATGCCTTGAGTCAGATAGACGGCAAGTGCTCTCCCGAGTGAAGTCAGTCCACTCTGCTGTCCCTCACAGCCCCCTGGCTCTTGCTCCTTGGTCCCGGGTCCTGATCTGTTATCCTTGCTTGTTTCTAGTTTTGATTTTGAAAGAAATGTTTCTGAACGCCACAGGGGCGCCCACAGCCAAAATCCCCCTTTGTGCTTGCACCCCTTTCCTCGACTTAGGATCCTGGTCTTCCACGTGGAAAAGTCTGCAGGATTCACATTGTAGGTGCAGTCTGGTCATTTGCAGACATGCAAGATCTAGGACCGTGGCGCTCGGGTCATGACAAAGCAGATTTGCTTGTAGAAAGTTCCAGGATCCGCATGACTTTTTCCCCCACTGAAGACAGCACTTTATCATAGAATTCAATCTCCGGAGCAGAGGTGGAACCCGTGAGAAGAGAGTATCCCTTTCGTGTGACGTGTCAGGGTTCGCGTGGAGAGTAAGCTGGCACTGGCTCAAGAACGAGGCAGCAAGCCTGCCTCCGCCTGGCTCGGCTGCGCAGCTCTCTCCAGGGAGCCAGGACTGGGGGAGTGGCAGCCACCAACCAGTGCCAGCTGAGATCAGTGTGCTGCAGCCTTAGATGCATGTGCAACTTCCCTGATCTGGAAGATCAAGGCTAAAAACCCTGCAGGAAAGGAGCTTCTCCTTTGCCCAGACTGTGCTGTGAAGCCAGCCGGGGAAGGGTATGTTTGGATGCGGAAACTAACACCAGCCACAACGGCTTATAGATTTGTCTTTCAGAATTCCTCCGGGACCTCTTCCAGACACACCCTGTTCCCCAGACATTTTGAGAAAGTTGTAAATTTTGCTGGCTCCGCATTACTTAAGTTGTGCTTGGTCATTCATTCTCATAAACTCTGGAACATGATTTACGATTTGATGTTGTCTTTTTCACAGGTGTTGGAAGTAAAGAGTTTTATTACAAATTAAAATATTTCTCCTCTCAACCATATGCCCACGCAGAGCAGTATTGTACATTTGGAAATTGTGTTATTTCTGTGTTTGCTCATGTTAGATATTAAAGACAATATTTTTGTTGTCATTTTAAAAATTGAAGGTACTTGTTTCAGGACAGTATATAAAAGTTCCCTTATATTCAGTGATGTATTCATATATTAATTGGCTGAATATCTACCTTGACCACGCAAAATCCTTACACTCATGGTGTGGTTACCAGTGCTACAGAGAAATCTGGCTAATAACGATGCTGAATATATTAAAACATAATTGTATTAAATGTGCTAGATTTATCTGCAAGAGCTGTGTTTTTCCTAAAAGATCCTTTCTGTGGGCCTTTTCCTTTTCTCTTAGTGAAATTTCAAACGTTTTTAGTTGAGTGACTGTATGAGTGTGTATACATGCCCTAGCGTTAGACTTTTATTTTAATACCCAGATTAGAGGGGAAAAAAAATCTACTTTTCTTAATCTTTGTGAAGATACTGGCTGATGACAATTTAAGAAGATAGTATGTTTGAAATAGCTTCTTATAGACCTCAGCATCCTCCAATATTCTTGTTTATAGAAAATATTTTATATCTGCATAATTTTGAAGTCATCTTTAGGTGATATTTAAGTACCCCCCAGTGCAGTACAGATACCTTGGTTCAAAAACAAAATAATCCCCTGAGGGAAGAGGAATCTTAGAAGCTTGCATCTGGAATCAGTAATCATTTCCATTTCCAAAGAAGGGGTGGCAGTTTTGGGGGTTTTTTTGTTGTTTTTTTTTTTGGTAGTGGATTATTTTTTTCTCTCGCTAATTGACAGTGATATCTGTGGCCCTGTTTCCATTAGGAGATGAAAGCATGGAAATTAAAAAACAAATTACAGGAATGAGAAGATTACTGAATGACAGCACTGGGAGGACGTATCAGCGTGTGGGCAAGGAGGGGGAGAAGCTGAAAGAAGAACCCCAGGATTTGGGTTCAGTCTGGCCCCCGCGCCTGAACTCCGCCGAGGCCCCGCAGAGCCTCCACCCGCCTTCCCGTGGTGCCTGGAATGAGTTACCGCCCCAGAGCGGGCACTTCTCAGGGCAGTACGGCACCCGCTCTAGAACCTTCCAGAGCCAGCCCCACACCACAGGGAGCGCCAACGGTACGGTCATCAGACGTGCGGAGGGCTTTCAGAGGCAGTGGTCTGGATGCATTTCATTTCTGAATAGTCAGTATGTTCCTTCAGTTCAATGTATTAAGCTCTCCCTTCATCACTTGACTTAGCTGAGTTGTATTAAAAGACATAAAGGAATAAAGGACAAAGTTGACAAGTATTAAAAAAAAACAGGATTGAGAAGCAGCAAAGACTGGGGGTTCTCCATTAGATGTGATAGTTTCTTTGTAGAGATTTTAGCCCTTTAAGAAGCTAAAGCCATCATTTGCCAATATATGGGTATTATTGTTACAAAAGACTGAACGTTAGGGCAGAAAGAGCTTCCCTCTGTCATTAAAAGACAGCTTCCTGGTCATGCGGTGTATTATTAATACATCCCCTCGTACTAATGCCTAGTCCTGCGCTTTCTTCATTATCTGAGGAGTCAGCGGGAGGACTGATAACTCAGCCCCCAAGTGGCACCTTCACTTTGGCCTCCCATTCAAGCTACCGAACCAGATGATCCATATTTTATAACTGGCTTTACTCGGGTTGAAAATTATTCCTTTAAAGTAAAATTTCCTTAATTTAAATTCCTAATTTTAGGGTAAAAAATCAAACGGCAATTTTTTTTTTCCAAAACGTAAGAAAAAACTCAATGACTTCTCCAGTCACATTAATTTTCCCTCCAGTGACATGGGATGTTACTTGTTCTAGAAATTAATGTACAGATGTGCAGATCTGTGGTTTTCACAAAGAGAACAAGAAGAAAGCAAGAATGCATCTTTGGTGTCCTTGAAAAGTTAAGGATTTGTTTTTTCCCATTCACTGTCCTTCAAGAAAAAGAGAACTATTGTGATTTTATTTTTTTTAAACCAGAGTTTGCAGTAACCAGTTCAGAGGGATGAAGAGCCCTCCTGAGCCACTGCTGATGAGACAGGGAGGGACCCCAAGAGATGGCATGGTGTCTTCTCTTTCTTTTAATATTACATAAGCCAGTATCAGATTCAACGCTGGCGTGTGTCCAGGTTAGAAGGAGATGGCTCTTTAAAGGCTCCTCCATAAAAATAAAAAGGCAGTTCTCTTTAAAATTAGAAAATGATTTATAGCAAGCTGAAAAGGGTTGGTTTTGTCCTCTAAAAATGATGAAGATAGACCGAGAATAGTGACTAGGAATATTCTGTAAGGCCCTCCTAGCTCTCCTGCGGTGGAAGAAATAATGAGAGAAATAAAATGCCCTTAGGCCTGTCTGAAGTTAGTAAGCCCCACATCAGAAAGTGTTGGGTGAACAATGTTCTGTCTTCCAGGGCACAGCAAGCTTGGTGGATGTACTTTGGAAAATGTGATTAACGGTAAAAGTTGCAAGCCTAAATTCCTCCATATTCATTGAAAAATAGATCTGTTTATGTTGATTGCTCATGTATTTTCAAAAGAGATGCATTATATTGAACCGTGACAACTTTGGTATCTGTCTCATTGAAATTATTTGCAGTTTTAAAGTTGTGACATCTCAGTTTGCTGCAACTTTGAATGTAAATAATTGTGCTGCTCCAAACATTAAGTTATCTTTAAGTATTTCATGGTTTTGCTGTGTTCAGTCTTTTGATAGTGTCCACAAATAATGCACATTGCAGGATTTAAATTGTATTTAATGTGTAGTAAAAGATGCCATTGGACTAAAAGTGTAGAATTTAATACTTCTTCCATCTTTGAAAAACCTAGGTGATAGCAGTCTCCTTGTCCTGGTCCACTTTAAGGTAGTAGGGCTGGGCACCAAGGCTAGAGAGAGCTGCACTGAAAGAGTGATTTCCCATTGTCCCATTTTATTCCAAGGATGATAGGGAGATGTTTGTTTACACATAAGGGAAACAGAATAGGATAGTTTTATTATGGAAAAGATATATTAAACAGTGAGAAAGAGACTAAAGTGAAATTGAAGAAATGGTAATGGGAAAAAGACGGAGGATCTCCTTTATTAAGCTGGAGAAAATCCAACACACCCGCGCCCTCCAACCTCTTAAGTTCAAGTGTATCCTCCCAGACCCCCCTGCTTCCTCCGCTTTTCCCCACCCAAGCACATCACATCCAGAGAGTGCTCTTTTTCTTTTTTTTGGTTGGAGGGTAATTAGGTTTATTTCTTAATGGAGGGACTGGGGATTGAACCCAGGACCTTATGCATGCTAAGCTCTACCACTGAGCTATACCCCACCCCCCAGAGAGTGTTCTGAAAGTTTAATATATTAACACTTCTTAATTTTTGGAATAACACAATTAATGCTAAAACTATTACTTTAATAATTAGACACATTTCATTCTTAATATGAACTCTCAGGACGTAAGCAGCTACGTTTTGAGGTTTTGGGGAGTTTTTTTGGCAAGGCTGTTCTCAGAGCTATTTTCTGTGCAGAGTAGCGTGAGTGTTTTTCGTGAATTGTGATGTATTGTTATCTGAGATGAACTGGCGGATGGAGGGAGGCCTGCCGTGATGGCGAAGCGTGTGCGTGCGGGAACAGCACGGCCCTTACGACGGAGACCCCGGATAATTAGATCAAGTCAGCCCCAAAATTCAGGTTGTGAAAATTACTGGGTAGCTTTTCCTCGGGCACAGGTTTCACAATAACTGCACAGGCTTCAGAATCCCATCCAGACACCCTCCCCCTTGTTTTTCCCCTCTTAACTTCGCTGTTGCCTGGCGTCCGCCATTCTTTTCTTTCATGCTTAGGAGAGCTTCCAGCCATGAATCCGTCAGTGGGGCCGAGCTGCTGCACTTGTAACTGCCAGTCAACGTTGCAGGCCATTCTCCAGGAGCTCAAGACCATGCGCAAGTTAATGCAGATCCAGGCAGGTACGGAGGTCAGCCCTCTGGCTTTTCATGCTTGTGTGACGTGTTCACTTGGGCTGTTGGGCTTGGACCCCTCACTGCATCCCACCTGGCTGTCTCGCTGTGCTTTCTCAAGTGTCCATTTCTCAGCTTTTCCTGCCTCCCGTCTTCCCTTTAGCAAGTCAGACACATGTTTTGCCGCTGATACTGCTAAGTACTTTCGAGCACGTGCTCCATGTATTTCACCCCGATCTCCTGGTACTTAACAGTTAAACTCATGAAGCTAATTAAATTCGGAGCGAGTGATACCCCAAGGTGGGCAGAGTTCTTCAGCTCATTTTCCTAATGTGAGTCAACACAGGGGTTCACATCAGGGAGCAAGGGGAGAATGACTTCTCTTCCCTCCCGAGGTGCTGGGTTTGGGGGGCTGCGTGCATCTCAACACCCCCCGCCTCCTGCACAAGATCCCCCTGGGCTTTGTATGACGGCAGGGAAGCCCCACATATCTGGACGCACAGAGGATCCCTTTGGAAGCTTGGGCTCTGCTGGTGGAGATTCCAGAGCATCAGCTGATAAGAAACGCTCGTCTTGGGCTCTGCTTGTGGCTTTTCTCCCCAACATTCAAGACAGAGGAGTTCAGAGACACCTCATGTTTTGTCTTTTTATTTACATGATGCTTTTTTGGTTCTCACTCCTGTTAGACAAGTTAAAGAGCAGTGAACTTTCAGTTTGGGGTCAGAGTCCCAGTTTCTCCTCTCCTAGCTTGTGTGACTTCTCTGAAACTCAGATTTCTCACCTGTAACTGGAGTATTAATATCTAACTCACAGGGCTGTTTGGAAATAGAATGAGATAGTAGATGGAAATGAACTCTGTAAAGCATGATCCGAGCCTAAGCCCGTTTCATTACTGTTGTTGCAAAGACCTGGAGCATTCCATAGAGGTCTGGAAGTCTAGGTCCTTATTCAAGTGGCTCTGTGTTCTAGTCCCCACAGTTAGTGGGGGGAAAGATAGAACTTTTTTTTGTCACAGGCACAGAAAATAATAAATCTTTTTTTTTTTCAGCCTTCCCACCCTTCAGGGAAGGCTGCTCCTTGAGCAGGAAAACAGCATAGTCGTATCTGACTGGCACCTGCCACCCCCGCCCCTGCTGTAAAGGTGTTCAGAAAGGGCACCGTGCAGAAGTCGTGCTCAGTGCCATTTAGTGGATTCTAGTAAAATGTCAATATTCAGTGATGTGGTTTGATGTAAAAAAACTTAAAACACATCAGTCGCCCAAGATCACATGAAAGTAAAGTGGGCAAAGGGCTTTCTGAAAAGCAGCATCTAATTTTATGTGCCAGATTTGGTCTTATCCCAAGGGAAAAAATAAATAAACATTTTGGTCAGACTGGTAAGCGTTTAACTCACCTTGTTCCACCAGGATAATCTGTGTGCTTATTAACCTGGCAAAGGTTAACATCTCCTAAATGAGGAGCCCGGAAAGAAAGGTTACTTCATTATGTACAGATTCTTTCCTCAGAGGGAGAATTTGTTAGCACTTAAGAAAATATGCCTATGAAATGTAATGATCTGTTTTGTTACTTAAGCTCCTTACTACTGAAATGGCAAACTACAAATTGCAACCATTTAAATCCTTGACTGAAGCCGTTTTAGAATCTATTAAGTAAATGCCACCATGTCACCCTGTTTTCTTTTCTGGACCTTTGCAGATTAGGGCGGTAAATGACTCCAAAGCTGTAGGATAAACTGAATAAATTACTCTTCTTTAATTTTCTTAAACTTAAGAATTTGTGTTGAGTGGGGAGATTTACCTAAGGTTTATTGCCTATAAATCGTAGGTTTGACTCCTGTTTAGAAAGTTTCATCTTGACTTTAGGGAGGAGGCAGGGAATAAGATCAAGCAATGAGATTTGGATGCAAGAGACGATGGCTCTGCCTGGACTTGCAGAAGGAGGGGGAAAACTCCGAAACCCCTGCGTTATTTATGCTAAAACGTTTTCTCTTTTAATTTTGAAAAGTGAGGCTTGGAGAGGCTTGAGTCCTAGACCGTTGATAATTGCTTCCGTAGGATATCTGACTTCGGGGACGGTGGCCTAGCCTCGGGTAGAACAGAGAAAAGTTCCAGTCTGGCTTGTAAGAATCACTCAAGGAGCTTTTGAAAAAAAAAAAAAATTCCCAGTGCCCAGTCATCACCCTTGGAAATTCCAATTCAAATTAGTCTGGGGTGAGGCTGAGACACTGGCTTCTTTTTTTCTTATTTTTTAGCTCCAGGGTGATTCTAATGTGTAGCCAAGGTGGAGAACCAGGGAGCTAGGCTAATTCCTGCACAGGTGGTTAAAGAGCCTGGCAGTGCTCATTTGCAGCGCAAGGGGTTTGTTCCTAATATTTATAAGTGTCTGTCCAGTCCGGAGAGACAGATATCAAGTTCAGAGTATCAATATTCTTTATTTGCAGCCTGACAGGCAGTGACCTGTACTCTGTGCATGTAAAGAGCTTGTATTTAGTGGTGTGTTTCTGTAGAAGAGCACCTGTGTCCTGCGGTCATGTTTAGTAAGCCGTATTAACATATGAAGCTTTAAGTAATAATGCCGTATTTTCCCATTAAACTTTCCATCAGAGGATTTTTAAATGGTTAACAAACATTCCTTCTCAAAGGGCATCTGTGAAAACTATAATTACCAGCCCTGATTTCCTCAGGTGCACAGTCAGTATTAGCACTCAGTCCTTGATCGGTGCTCTTTGTCTTTGGAACTCACACCATTTCTGGATCTTACTGACTGGCTTCCCTTGTACAGAATTACAGTCTCCCTACTCTTCAGCTACAGAAGCCTGAGGTCTGGGGAAAACAGCCTGGTGGGCATCCCGCAGCGTGCGGAGCCGGTCGGTGTGCGGACGGTGGGGGTTTGCGCGGCAGCAGTCACTGGGCTGTAACTGACCGGCAGGCTCGGCCCTCGTGCTCACTGGCGCAGGCGTCCCCGTCATTCCCGAGTGAGTCTTTTGAGCCACCTTGCCCACATAATCGTCCTTGCGCCGTCTCTGTCAGCTTGGGCACCTGTAGATTGCTGGTTACTGCTTAGTGTAACCTCAGGTGACAGCTGGAATATTCCTGCGGTTGCCAGGAAGCATGGATGCCTACACCTCGGTTTAAGTCCCAGAGTTCTCAGTCACTTAAAAATGTCATACGATGCGTAAAATCACGCTTCAGTGTTTTCTCGTAGCTCCTAACCCTTCCCTCCCGTTGACCCCAGGGTGGCGGTGCAGTGTGAGTATTCGCCAGCCTGTGGAGCAGAGTTTTCTCTGCCTGTCGAGCTTTAAGGTGCTTGAGCTGGTATCTGGTAACCGGCAGGTCCAGCGCAAGGTTGATTTTGGTGTGCCTCACCGTTTCAGCCTCGTTTTTGGAGCAAGTAGACAGACAGGTGATACGTTTTCCTAAGTTAGACACAAGTGCCTGTACCGTATTTTTGTTTGTTGTTCACAGTTGGAACCCCAAACCGACAACAACCCCCACTTTCCCTTATCTGCTCCCAGCGAACTGCTGTCTCACGCAAGAGAAATAAAAAGAAAAAAGTGGCCCCCAAGACCGCTGAACCTCTCACTGTGAAACAGAAGCCCGGTGTGTTAGAATCCGAGAAGAAGACGACAGTGGCCGCCGAGAATCCCGGTCTCCCCGCAACCGAGCACACGCCCTCCGGGGAGAACCACATCCTAGGGTTCGGCATCATTGTCGAATCACCTTCCTCCGATGTAAGTCGATATTTTCTGGCTGCTTATGCTAATGTCGTGTAATTGTCAAGAACTGTACAGGATTAATACACTTTGCCCTTAACTCGTTCTGCCCAGGAAAACCAGAGAAACTTGCAGAATACGTGTGGGAAAGAGGAAAGGAAAACTATTCCGAATTTCCTTGCCCGGAATTTCTCTTCTGAAAATCTTAGGCCTTATTTACTTAAACGTGTTTCCATGCTTTATCTCTGAAAAAAAGAAGGGTAATGGAGTAAATATTCTGCTCACTAATTTCGTTAACATTTTTAATTTTGAAGCGGCCGTTTTCAATTTCCTCCGTGTAAAGAGCTAAAAGAACATAATTAAATCCTTTGTAGATGGGCATAAATGAACACAACCCTACGGATAAGGTCACACCTTTCTAGAAACACAAACTAATAATAAAAAAGAAGCAGTGGTGCTAATTCTGCTTTATAGATGCATGCTACACTGCTAATTCGGCTTCAGTGCCATGCCATTTAGTCTGTGTAATGATAGGTTAACACTCTGCAAAGGTTTTTCTATTTTAATATCACAGCCAGAAGGTCGTCGCAGCCCAAGATGTTGGATGACACCTAAGACATCCATCTGACTTGCCATTTTATAGTCATGTGGCCATAAACTAACTCCTTCAGTCATGTGCTGTATTTGCAACAGCACGCTCTACGTACAGTATCTTGATCTAAGTACACGGATGCTGTGAGTCCCGGCTTGTGGGGAGAGCTCCTAAAATAAACAAGAATGAGAGATCTATTATTACCAGATTGCATAGGATAAGAATCCTGCTGAGAACTCCGACAGGCCTATATAGGATGGGAGTTGGGCCCTACCTCTTAAACTTTAAATAAGAAATAAATTACTATTTTAAAAGAACATTGGTTGCCTTTCAAGTTGCTGAAGGACAATTTGCTAGCATGGGTCTTTAATAAAGGGAGGCGACAGAAATAATCATCTCGTGACTTTGTTAGGCTAGAAAATCATTGGGACTTCTATCCAATCGTTGGTGTGAAGAAGTTTTTGTCTGTTTGTTTCATATCTATGAACACATGCACAATTGTTAAGAGGTTCTTCTAGATGGAAAACTTAGTTTTGAAAAATCACTAATGATGCTAGCAGGCTACCCTGGACCATCTGGCTCCTTTGACAATATCCTGTTGTTATCGCGACTAAGGCCCAGGTTTCAAAAGCCACGTCGATCACACATTTGGAAGCAGAGGTGAATGATTCCACAGCACAAAGTGCATTCAGTCTGAAGCAGTTTACATAATACTTTTACCTTTTATCTTGAATTTTTTTAGGCATAAATATATCAGGAACAGTCATTAGTGTTGTGAAAATCATCTCTTAAATGAGTCGATCTAATGCTAATAACTGAACTGTCTCCTTTTTAATATTTAAGCTCTAAACGCACTGCAGAGGTAAACTGAGAAAGATCTGATAAAGGCCTGATGTGCATTAGTGAAACAGAATAGAATTTTTCTTGTCTTTACCAATATTGGTATTGTAATTTATATACAAATTTTTTTTTGCTTTTTATTCATAATGATTTTTGTTAACAGGAGCTATTAAATTTAATAAAGCACATTCAGAATTGTCCATGGAAACTCATTTAGGTGCTGATTATCTTTGAAGGATAACTTGCTTCTATAAAGAAAAGCAAAAACCATATAGAGATGCTGTCTTTACAGCTGAAAGGCTGTAGGCCGTTTGAGTCATCTATTCGACAGGAACTGTAACTGCACTGGGGGACCATGCAGTCAGTCCCATCATTAGAAATTTTGGCCCCAGATAGTCTTGCTGGTATTAACAAGCCTGGCCTGTACAGTCCCAGGGTCGGGGGGACTGACTCCCTTAAGTGTGGGACCATCGGCGCTAAGGTGTGTAAACTTAGGTGCCCTTGTAGTCTTTTATTATTTCTTAGCCATGAGCCTTTTAAACTTTGGTGGAAGTCCAGAGGAGAAAATAGAAAATATATAATAACCGTATAGGAACTATTCTATAAAATGGATTGGAGAAGATGTAATATAATTGGATTATATATAAGTAGATGGAAATTGTTTCTGAAGGTGAGCTCTGAAAAGTACCTGGTGTTGGGAAAATTAAGTCTGAGATTGTAGGATTGAGCAGGTGGCCCAGTGTGGCTAGAGCATCCGTGTGGCTGCCCTGATGGCAGATGATGAGGTAAAGGCAGGATGTTTTCACCCAGACGGTGAAAGCCCGAATGTGTCCCCCCCAGGCCCTTGGCCCTTTGATCTAGTGGGCGCTGCGGAGCTGTTGCAAGTTTTCTGTAAAGGAATCGTCATACCCGAGTTTAGAATGGAATCTGGAGCAGCACTGTGGATGATTGACAGATGTAGAGAAGATACTAGAGGCAGAGAGACCAGGAGGAAGATAATTCCAGCCAACCAGGCAAGACATTGGGAGGCTCTGTTCAGGAGCAGTGAGCCTGAAAAGACAGAGAAACGAGAGGCATCCAGCAGGTTCCCACCCAGAGGACTTGGTGACTCAGGAGAAAATAATTCCCACATTTCTCTTGGGAAACTAGGCCGGTTACTAGATGGTACAGACTTCCTTCACGGAGACAGGGAAGGCAAGAGCAGAAGCAGGCCTTCAGTTCTGGGTGAGCAAGGTGATATCTGGAAGCCATGAAAAAAGGACACATAAAAGCTGTACTTCATTGCTTTTTAAATGCAAACAAAATATTACTGTACATGTTTTAAAGTTCACAATTTATTAAGTTATCTTTTTTCTGCTGTGACTTTTAGTGTCACCCAGAAGCAAATTTGTGTGTCTGTGCACAAGCACAAACATCTGGGGCTGGAGATCAGAGCAGCTGGACCGCAGGTCCGAGGATGGTTATCCCCACCCAAATGCGGAGAGACTGAGCCCTAGTCAAAACCAGTGTCAGCATCAGCATCTCAGAGCGTTGTAAACACTGAATACCCTGGAATATACGGGAAAATCCTGCTGCAGTGCCTGGCACATAAAATGTACTCAATAAATGGCAGAACACCTGCATTTGCATTAAGCGCAATATACAAACTAACCTTTCAAAGCTTGGGGTCTAGGACTTGGCTTTAATTAGAGCCCTCTCCTCGATTTAACCCCCGGTTTCTCATTCTTTCCTCGTGACTCCTTTCTGCACACTCCTCCTTCTACAGTCCTTTTGAGAACTTTCTCTGCTGGTTTGTAATTGTTCGTGTGATTTCCCTCCTTCCCCCAGCTTCTCAAGGGCAGAGACTACCTCACCATCGTCGTCATCATAATGATAATAATAACTGTATGCTATCCTCTGCTAAGTTTTTCATCAATTTCGTCCTCCTTTGGGCGGTACACTATTATCCTCACTGTGTAGCTCAGGAGACCGGGGCATAAAGGGCTTGATACCCTGCCCAGGCTCACACCGCTAGACAGGGGGAGCCGGTTCTCAAACCCAAGGGCTGAGAGTGCCTTGACGGACTCGGGCGCCAGCCCTCACCCAGCTCGCCCAGTAGGTGACCAGCACTCAGTAACTGCTCATGAGACGATTGTAACACAAGGGAGAACTGGAAGGCTAGACCATGGCCGTTGGTTCTGTGTACTGGGGGGTTTCTGAGGGGGAACTCTATGGTTAAGGGTGCAGCCCCTGGGGTCAGGATGCCAGGCTCGGAGCTCAGCCGTGTGACCCTGAGCAAGTGCACCTGCCCCACCTCCCTCACCTCTCTCACCTCCCTGTTTTCTCTCCATGAAATGGGATAATAACAGTGCTGACTTCATAGTGTGGGCCCGCTGGAGAGTCCAGTGACGTCATTTGGTAAAGCACTTAGAATAGTACCCGGTGCATTTTAAGCACTCCGTAAATACTGCTTCTTTTTTAAACCTTAGCGGTCCTAGTTGAGTACCTTTATAGCAACAAATATAAACATTTGTTAAGTAAACTTCTTTGGACATATGTATGAGCAAATACACGTGAACTAACACGGTTTCTCAAAAGAGAGTGGCCAGAAATGTTTTTCTTCAGGGGCAGGATTATTTGACCCATTTTAAATTAGCACATTAAATAAAACTGAAACCTAAATTACAAGATGCAGAAGCAGAAACCCCGAACCGAATTTCAGATTTAAATGCAAGTTTAGATTCTTTCTTCATGAGCTCACACCCTAGCACTCTGCTGGCACTCAGACAAGACACCTGTGAATTTTTGAGTTACTGTTCTTTCCTACCTGGTTGGATTTATTGATCTGTGTTTTTCGGGGCAGATATAAATGGTTTAGGGTTATTTCCTTGTTTCTTCTTGTTCGGCTTGTTCTTTGGACTTGTTGAAACACTAACCAGCTTTTTAAAAATATTTTAAGTTTTTTAAAAATGTAGACACCTTTTTTCTACTTCTTATAGTTATTATGAATTTTTTCCAGTAATCCTAAGTTACACAAAGGTTATCGGCAGATAAAGCTACAGACATCCGTCAGCTTAAGATAATTTTGTGAATGCTTACGTCAGTCTTAAACAATGTGAAGTGTACTTGGTGCTTTCAACATAAACATAGCTTCTGAAGTTAGAATCTGTTTTCTTAATTTCTTCTTAGCCCAACAATAAAGTAATCCACTGGGAGCTGGTAAAGCAGATGAATCAAGCAAGCGATGTTTTACTTCATTCACTGACACACTGAAATTAAGGCAGCGTATGCTTCGGAGTTCAGGTTGTGGTGCACACTTCCTGGGTTCACATCCTTGCTTCACCGCCTGTTAGCTGGATAATCGTAAAAGGAGTTACCTAATCTCTCTAGGCCTTAGTTTTTGCATCTGCAAATTGAGGCTAATGGTAGTGGCCGCTTCCTAGGACGATGAGGATGAAATGAGAAAACCCCTGCAATGTGTGTTAGCCTAGGGCCTGGAATACAGTAAGTAGCAAATATGTGCTAATTATAGCGCCATTTTCCAGGGCTCCTAGTCCTTGCCCTTTAAGGACCCTGCGAGGAAAACACACCAGCAGTAGAGACAGCA